TCCTTCTGAGGAATCTAAAAATCACAAAAATAATTTTAAATATCTGAGTATGCTTTAAATGTAAAGCAAAAAGTCAAAGTCATAGTACAAATTATATTTTAAATTACAATTGGTTACAAGGCTTACAAATAAATGTTATCATTACTTAAAAAAAATACTTGGATCAAAACATATATACCCACTGGTGGTTGTGAAAATGAAACTGAATACTTTTCAGAGCCATTAGCATACACAATTTTGATAGATGGGAAAAACTTTAATGACCAAAATGAGATGCTATACTGTTATTTGCATAGTCATAAATCAGAGCTTTCTTTTAACACTTTCCCAAGTGGCCATATAAGCATGCTGTATGAATTTTCAGGCTTCTAATTTGCAGTATTCAGTAAAACATCAAGGTACTCAGCTGAAAGGAGACACCTAGATATATATTTAACCTGCTTCTAGACATCGAGACACTACCTAGTTTCTAGTATTAGCCTAGTTCCAGAGCTCTTCCTGCATCCTGTACAGGGGTTTTTCAGAAGCCAGACAGAACCCTGACTATTTTCATGGAGTAGGGAGGCTAAATACAGCTTGGGGAGAGGGGAAAGCATCCAGCCACAGCTGAGTGTCCTGTGATGACTTTAAGACATCAGATTTTCTTATGCAGCATGTGTAAACGATTTTTTAAAAACAGGTCCAGAGATGATATGGCAGTTGTGATTTATAGCACCAACAGCTCTCACTTACTGATGTTAGGCATTATTCAAAGCACGTTACATTTGCTTTTATGTACTCAAACTTTTAAAAATTGCTTTTTTCTATTCTTACATGGCTTTAAATTCTTTTCAGAAAGTAGTACATACAGAATTCAGTTAAAAGCATGTATTTAACCATCTTGAAGGTATTTTCACCAAAAAACAATCTATTTTCATATCAATTACTATTTGAGGTTTTTTTATTCTCTTGGCAAGACTCATTTTATCTTTTGGGGAGTACTGATGTTGGCTGAGTGTGACTATGGTAGCTGAGAGGTAAATTGGAGGCTACGTACATAAGCTTAGGTTGAATTCATACATATAGACTGTATATAATCACCTCGTAACTAATAATTCTGAAAGCTATCTATCATCATCAGAATGAATAATTAACTAAACAGATAATACCAATTTTTAATTCCAAGTAATTAACCATTAGAAAGCTATCAAATATAAACTTTAGGAAGCATTTGTAAAAAAAAAAAAAACAACTCACTGACATTTTCAAACTTAAAAGGAATCATTTATGCACTCTCTAATTACCTCTGAGGACAGACAAAAATGGAGTTTTCCAGATAACTCAAATCAAATCACTAAGGTAAGACTGAGATAAGAATTACCTATACATCCAAAACAGCCAAGTTAAAATACAAACCACGGGGACTATACATTTTTGTCCTTAATATTTTTCACAATTCATTCCTAGAAATTCATTCCTAAAAATACACAGGGACATACGATCCACACATAAAGGAGTTCTTGGTGCTATAACCAGACTTCTTAAGACAGTAATTGAAAACTATGAACAGAGGGGCTAGAGCTGCCCATTAAAGCCTGTAGTTTCTTAAAAATCTCATGTTTCATTACAAAAAAATATATGTATACCTTATATTCTATTCAGTTATACCTGTTTTAATTTTTAAAAGTTCTAAGTAACTAATTATGAATTACATGCTCTGTATTTTTTCCTTTTTAGTATTTCAATTGCACCACTTCAAACCTCCAAGGGTACAAGTAAGTACACAGTCTGAGAAGGTCAGGCTTAGGTCAATTTGATTATAGTGAAGGTAGATATTTACAATAAAACTGATAGAGATAATCTTACTACTACTCCGTGGAAAGGATATTAGATGTAGCAGCGCTGTAAACCCAAGAACTCCATAGTATAAATTTTTCTTTTCAACTGTACTTGTTAGTTTATTTATACAATTTGCATATAATGAACAAAGTATTTTTCTGGAGTAAAGAGACTTAATTGTTTGTAAAAATAATAATGCACAAACTCACCAATATTTTCTTCAGACAGCCTTAAAATCTCCTGGAACTGAGGTTTTACCTAAGCAACCCGAAGAAAAGATCCAGAAAGTCTCAGGTTCAACAGACCAGTCAATGGTTAAATAAAATGTTTCCTACCATTGCTACTACTGATTTTTAAAGATTCAAGTAGTCAAAAACACAACAGTTCTTAAAAGCCATAGGAAAAAAGAAATGTCAAGTTTCTGAAAACAACATCTTTTTAGAGATAAAATATTTAAAAAATCAATTTAGGTCAGCAAGTTTTCTGAAGGACCTTAAGATTCCTTCACTAAATTAAAATCATTTCCAAGGTGACTTTAAGTGTTTGAAATTACTACCTCCCAAAACCAAACCTGATGATATAAAGGATACTTATGCAGATATATGATTAAAACTGTTGAAAAAAAATGTTGTGTATAAAAGGAATGAAAATGAAATTCCATTCATTTAGGATATTCAGTGAGTAAGATACTCATTATGTTATATCCATTGGCTTAGTCTTTAACTTTTTTAAAATTTAATTTTAAACACGAAAGACAGAATTTAACATTAAAGTTTTAAGTTAGAGGGAATGCTTGTTTCAATTTTCATTTTTAACATCACAGATTTCAGGCCTCTGAAGTCAACCACTTAAGTGTTAAAGTGAATTCCTAATTGCTTTTGTAAGAAAAAGTAAAATAAATAACAGTTACTTCTTCTGGAGATGTCAAACAGTTTTTGCCAATAGTGATTCCCAGTAAAGTCCAACTATACTTAATAATTAGATGTTAATGAATGATTTGGTTTCTCCTACAGTAACATTAAGCTCTGGTTTTTGCCCTCCTATCAATAGATCAGGCATATTAATTTGCAAATTCCATTTAAACTGAGATGTAGACCACTGTGAAAAGATTAACCTACAGCATCAGATGTACAGGATTAAATTTCATTTCACACATGAAAAGATTAAGTACAGATACATCAAATGATTGATTCAAGGATACACAGAGTCATAACCCATTTTCTGAATTTTGTCAGTCCACTATACCAAACTGTCATGCTCTAAATGTTTCAAAAACTACAGGCTCAGTAAAGAGGTGCCACAAAATTTTTACCTTTTAAATGTCTTAACATATAGCAACTACATCTTTATAAGGTTTTGTTAACGCTCTAAAGAACTGGCTCAACAATCTTGTTATGAAGAAAAATGGATTAACAGGATTAAAGAAGAAAGTAGGACCTAAGGACTTTCCAATTTTAATATTTAAACAACAAAATAACCTGGTTAGGCAAATGTGACATTGATTGAAATATGCAGCATTTATCTCAAGTGTCCATTCTATTCCAAGAGCTCCTATCTTGTAGCAAGTATTCTACACAAGCTGCTTTGTTTCTATAATCACCTGAGTGAAGGTGAAAGTTGCTCAGTTGTGTCCAACTCTTTGCGACCCCATGGACTACACAGTCCATGGAGTTCTCCAGGCCAGAATACTGGAGTGGGTAGCCTTTCCCTTCTCCAGGGGATCTTCCCAATCCAGGGATCTAACCCAGATCTGCTGCACTGCAGGTGGATTCTCTACCAGCTGAGCCACAAGGGAAGTCCAAGAATACTGGAGTGGGTAGCCTACCCCTTCTCTAGCAGAGCTTCCCGACACAGGAATCAAACTGGGGTCTCCTGCATCGCAGGTGGATTCTTTACCGACTGAGCTATCAGGGAAGCCCACAATCACCTGAAGTTCTGACCAAAGCATATAGACGAAATGGGGGCTTCCTGAATCTCTGGTAGATTCAGTACAAGAAGCACATTCAAGGAATTGCAGTGGAGTCCCCTAGCTGATACTTTCTCTGCTGGAAAGCTCTGAGACATCCACAGTGAGCAGAACTTATATTTAAATGTGGATACAGACTAAATTTTGGCTAAATCATTTTCTGAAAATCAATAAAGATACAAGTATTACAGATCAGAATTTTCTTTTATGATCATAGTTTTCTAAGATATTAAAAGATAATTAGAATAAAGGAAGGGCTCCTGCTTTTACTTACTCTGCCATAGCATTAATTAACACATTACATGTTTATATGTCTTGCATATAAGAAAATATGAAATACAAGTTTTTACCTTAGTGTTTGTAAAAATTTGGCCAAATGTCCGGCAAAGGCACCAGAAAAATCTGGAGAATTCATGGACACAGGCAGTTGAAGTGACATTAATTTTGCCAACTATTTCTATAAGCTGTGGTAACCTGAATAGGAAAGAAAGGAAAATCGGCAGGGGATACAAATAAATTACTGTTTCCTTGCCAAGTTCTGAAACAATCCAAATCTAACAATCTCTTCCGCTTTTCACAGCCAGTAAAATTAGAACGCAAAGGAGTTGTTTGGGACCCTTTGAAAAAGTCTTAACTTTATATTCTGTAAACTTCTTACATTTTAACAGATTGTCATGAAATATATGGAAACTTAATGGCAGAGTTCTAAGTGTGGTGTTAATAAGACTTAAGTCAGTGGAGGTGATACTTCATACAAAAGCTTGGCTCACATGGCACCATATATTTTAGCCTCAAAAATGAGAAGTCTGGATGTCGTTTACAATCCACCACCACTTTTAGATACTAAGGGAGCAGACAGGTCTTTCTGCAGTAATACAGACACAGATAAGCACGGATAAGCAACTACATGTGTACAAGTATAAATCTTCTCTCCTGAAGACAGTTACCACAGATGACGCCAAGTTATGTTTTGTTATATTAAAAAAAATATTTTGCTATATTTTGTCCCTCAGTTCCCAGGCTAAATATCGTGAGCTGAGCTATCTTCCATTCGAGTAGCTGAGATGTACCAAATGAACATGGAGGTGGTAACTTACAGCTGACTGACAACCTCCCAGCCGGTTGTACCCTCGTGTTCCAGCTGGCAGTCATAAAGCTGTAGTAGCAATGCCAGTTGCTCATGACTTCCAATAAAAGTAGATACATCTTGAAGACGTCACACAGGCCGAGGGAACCCAGTCACTGTAAACACAGAGACGCGAAACAAGTCATGCAGAAAATGGCGGTTTGGAAAGTTAACTCTCTGATCAGAAGAAAAGTAAGGTTCTGCCTCCTAATATCTATTTAGCATATTCTAGACTTCAAATACAAAACCTAAATACATTAAATCACTTTCAGAAAAAAATGAAATGTAGTTGATCCCTGCACCATCAGGGGTTAAACTGTCTAACTTATAGTCAGACCTTTGTGTCAGAGATTCCTCCACACCCACAAATTCAACCAACCATGGACCAGGCAGTACTACAATATTAACTATGGAAAACTATCCATATGTAAGTGGATGTATATACCTCAAACTCCTGTTGTCTAAGGGTCGACTGTAAATTTCTCTTGCATGTGAACAAATTTAACAAATCTCAAAAAATTAAGATTTTATGAGACTAAATATCTAGTAAACGAATACTGAAATGAAAGAGTTTGCCAGTAAAAAGCAAAACTTTATTTACTTTAAAATTTGCTCCAAAATAAGATCTCAGTTAAAATATGGATTTGAATTTAATCCACCAGACTGCTTATGTCAATAAATAGTAACTACAATAAGATATTTCCTTCATGGAGTAAGAAACTAATAGGTTGACAGCATGGAAAAATTGTTTAATACCTAAAATACACTAAAGCTTGAGCTGAACAGGATTCTTAAGTATTTAATCTCCAATATTAAATGCTTTATTTAGCAAGTTTTCCATAGTTTGATAAATATTAAGTTAATATAAAGTGTTAAAAGCAGTGACCAGTAAGATAAAGCCATATATAGTAATAATAAAAAAATTATTATAAATATTATAACCAGGGTCTCAAATACAAACTTTAAAAGTTTTGGGGGAAAACTGAAAAAATGACTTTAAAAATTGTGTAAATAAATAAATATACATTAGGATATTTTCAAGTTTGAACATATCAATAAAATTTATGATCCTACAGATTAGATTAGATTCCAGCTCTTAGCTGGCTCTTAAGTGAAGAATGCTACCAACAGCTCCTTAACTGTTGAAGAGAAATTCCTAGTGGCCCAACAGCTCCTGCATAGAGGTTAACACCCTAAAAAGACACAATGAAGGAGGCAGCATTTTCTCAAAGCATATGAATGGCTTAATGATAATCATTAAACTTTAGAAAACATGAAACAAATTTTAAAATGCTGAAAGACAAAATTAAGGTGGTATTATCTTCCTACGCTCCCTAAGGTACTTAACAATATCTTAAGGACAGATAAAGGTTGTCCCTTGTTAGTTAAAGTCTCTACTTGCTATCATAATACACAAATAAATGAATTTAGGTAAAATGGTATCCCACACTCTCTGAGATTTCTGCATGAATCATCATTATCTCAACCTAGGAATCAAACAGATTTGGACAGTGAGGGATAGTTGTACCTCATACTTCTATATCATGTCGAAGCACATCTGATCATTTCAAATAGGATTATATCATATTGGTCACAATCTGTGATACTATGATGGAATGCATATTATTCCTTCAGAAATAGGACAAATTACTGAAAAACAGTGGAAGAGTTAAGAGTCAAATAAATAATGTTAAGATTTATTATAGGAAAAGTGAGGTCCAAAGATTTAAAGCGAGGTCCAAAAGAAGTAAAACAAGAAATAAGCAATTACTTGGATAACTCAGGGGTTCCCTGGGGGCTCAGATGGTAAAGAATCCGCCTGCAATGCAGGAGACTGGAGTTTGATTCCTGGGTTGAGAAGATTCCCTGGAGAAGGGAATGGCTATGCACTCCAGTATTCTTGCCTGAAGAATTCCATGGGCAGAGGAATCTGGTGGGCTACAGTCCATGGGGTCGCAAAGAGTCGGATATGACTGAGCAACTAATACACCATGGATAACTCAGTTGTAAAAGATAAGTAGTCAGAATGGTAAGTTTGAGGTTTAGGAACCTCAAAGTGTTATTCTGTTCAAAACAATTTTTAAAAATTTAAGCATCTAACTTGTGAACATACAGAAAAGTCCTCAGAAGGCCATTTCAATAGACTGGCAAAAAGCTAGCATTTCATTGTCTAAAAATTACCAAAAGTATCCAAATCCAGCAAAATAACAGCTGCTGTGATTCTTTAATGTATTTCCTTCCCTCCAAAATGTCAGCTCTATGATGGCAGAGATTTTTGTCTGTTTTCTTCATGAGTGCATCTGAAGTGTTCAAAATAGTACCTTGCATACATATTAGCTAGTGTTGTGGCATTTTCGTTATTTAAGAGAAAAACAAATAAATCTTCACTTGTAATAAATTGTATCCCAAATTATATAGATGTACATATAGACAGACATATAGACACAGCTATATAGACAGATCCCAAATATGTATATAATATTTCCTCATTTATAGTAAACGTATTATAATCTGCATGTGAGTATAATGACATTAACATTTACAGCTACTATTAAAAGTCAGAAGGTCAAATTAAGTCAGTGAGAACTTAAGGTTGTTTTTGACATGATAAAGACGTAATCACAAGGAAAGGCCACATAAACATCTGTTCAGAATGGTGACATAGTTTTGAAATTTTTCTGTCTAATCTCTAGCATGTGCTTGGCCATAGGTGACACTGAAGAATTATTTGCTAAGTGAATGAATGATAGCGAATGCTATGGGGTGAACTGTGTCTCCCTTAAAAATTTGTATGTTGAAATCCTAATCCCTAGGACCTCAGAATATGATCTTACTTGGAAATAGCACTGTTGCAGGTGTAATTAGATAATATGAAGTCACACTGGAACAGCGTGGACTTTCAATGCAATATAACTGATCTCATAACAAGGGGAAGTTTGGGCACAGAGACACGCACATGCACACACACACATACAGAACGGAATGTGAAGGCAGAGATTGGGGGGATGCATTTACAAGCCAGAGTACCAGAGATCGCCAGCAAGCCACCGGAAGCTAGGGGACAGGCAGGAAAGAGCTGTCCCCTCACAGCCTTCAGAAGGAGCCAACCCTGCTGACAACCTGATCCTCTCGCCTTCAGAACTGCACGACAACAAGCATCTGATGTTAAAGCACTACATTTCACTTACTTTGTTATGGTGGATGTAGCAGAACATTGCAGCAAGATAGAAAGAAAAAGGGAATTAGAAAGTCCCTAGGCAGCCGAAGTGCCTTAATGAGTGAAGGGGTAAACCTAAAGTGGCCAGCTGTGAGCACTTTGTGGTTTAAGTCTGAAGTTGCATTCTCCTCAATAATTATAATTAAAAATTATTAAATTAACTCTACCCTATCCATTCTCAATTTTCCAAGTAAAACTGGCATTCTTACGGTATATACCATTTTTATGCGATGCTTCACGCATTGCTGGATATACTGCTTCATATCCCAGAGATTACAGGTGGCCCAGTTTACTTTACATGGAAATTGTAGCACTAAAAACACTTGCATTTATACTCCTGTTTATTAGAAGCCCAGAAGAGATATGAATAATTTCACAAATCTGAAAATCTCATACATACTAATAGCTTGTCTATAGCCATTTATCCTGGCGGTTGGGTGCTTTGGGGCTACCACGTGCCATGGATCAAAGGTCACTTACTGGTTAGCTGGACTCTGAGCTAAGAAAATAATGGCTTTTGCTATCAATTTCATTTATTCCTGAAAATAAATCATACTCTTTTTTCTGGGGGGAAAAAAAACTGTGCTGCATATGCTTATATCCATATCAAGGACACAGCAGGAAATAGCAATTACACTTTCTTTCCCCTACTGAAAATAACACAAAACAGCTGAGGAAGAAAAAAAAATACAAAGAAAATGAAAATGAAAAGCTTCATGAACTGACCCTGGTAACTATTAATTCAGCTCTGTTAATGAAAGAAAACACTTCTGACTTACCACACTGAAAAAAAAAAAGGCTACAAAAAGGCTCTAGATTTAGAATGGAGAGGAAGAATAAATATTGTAAAATAACACCATGAGGCTTATCCATAGATGATGAAGCCAGGTAGCTCCCCTTAGGTATCATACAATCTCTGACCACGCGGTTCCACACATATAACACATTTTAGTAATTATGCTGTCATACAGTGACTTGGGGAGAAGGAAATGGCAACCCACTCCAGCAATCTTGCCCAGGAAGTCCCATGGACGGAAGAGCCTAGTGGGCTACAGTCCTTGGGGTTGCAAAGAGTTGGACATGATTTAGCAACTAAAACAAAGTGACTTTTACAATTTTAATCAAAAACAATTCTGTGGGAAGCTAAGCTGTCAATGTTCTACATCTCCCTTCCATAATTTAAGCTCAATACCTTCTATCTGTGGCACGTCACCATGAAGCTTGGCTTTGCTGGAGAAGGGTGCGTTCTGTAGCACTAATGCAAAGAGAGATGGGATCAAGGACTGCAAGGCAGACAGATACATGTGGAGCTTATGTTCATCCAGCCCGTGCTCACCTTCCTGAAACATAAGCAGGTGGAAGCTAATTTAGTCTCCTGAGAGTATGCATTTATGATGCTCTTCCTTTCGGTGGCAAACAATAAAACAATGAAGGACATGTGTGTTAGTCTCACAGTAAACCTAATGGAGATGGCCAAGAATCTTTTCTGAATTGCTGTGAGTATGTGAAAATATGAAGAGCTAAAGCACTGTGGGGGCTTACCTGGTGGCTGAGAAGGTAAAGAGTCTGCCTGCAGTGAAGGAGATCCTGGGTCGATCCCTGGATCAGGAAGATCCCCTGGAGGAGGAAAAGGCAACCCACTCAGTATTCTTGCCTGGAGAATTCCATGGACAAAGGAGCCTGGTGGGCTGCAGTTCATGGGGTCGCAGAGAGTCAGACACTACCAGTCGGCTAACATTTTAACTTTCACAAGGCACTGTGGACATAATAGAATCTTTTGTATGGAAAACTTCAGGGTGAACATCAGTCATTTCATTTGTATGGAACTTCTTTCACAGGTTTTTTCTTTTTTTTTTTCCATTTATTTTTATTAGTTGGAGGCTAATTACTTTACATCATTGCAGTGGTTTTTGTCATACATTGAAATGAATTAGCCATGGATTTACATGTATTCCCCATCCCGGTCCCCCCCCCCCCCCCCGGCCCACCTCCCTCTCCACCCGATCCCTCTGGGTCTTCCCAGTGCACCAGGCCCGAGCACTTGTCTCATGCATCCAACCTGGGCTGGTGATCTGTTTCACCCTAGATAATATACATAAGGTTTTTTCTTTTAAGAGGGTCTTAACTTTTGAAATTTTAGAAGTCAGGTTAAAGATATTAAAGTGATCAAAGGAATCATTTTAAATGCTCAACTGTTAAACCAGCAGTAGCACTTATTATTTTCTCTCTACTTCCAAACTCCTTTCATAGATTTGATGACAACTATATTTGCCAGTATTTAATGCACTTTAAAGTAATTCACTGTAAAACACAGAAGATATTTCAAAAGGAAACGAAAGGAAGAGATAATAGAAACAACCACCAAAAAGAGTAAAACGATCACTATGGTACACAGAAACCAAGTATTAAAGTGAAAACTAGAATCACTAGAGATAAAAGCATTTAATGCTGCTCAAATCCACTTGGGATCTCATTATATTATAAATACCAACTGTGTCAGAAATACCAGATATGTTAGGTTTTTTTTACTATCAAGTTCTAAATTAGTTAGTTTCTTTATGGACCATTACCTGTGCTGAATACTGCAGCTATGTTTAGCAGCAATGTGGAATTAGCTGTGTTATGGAATGGAACAAGGAAAACCCAGTATGGATAATGCTCAGATAGAAGGGATGCAAATATTTAAAAAAAATACTTGAGAAAAATTCCCTAGGTTTCATAAAAAGAAGTACTCCAGTCTAGTTGTCTATTTATTGTCTTCAACTTGCATTTTGAAATTTACAGGAAAAAAAGTCCAATTTTTAAATTAGATAAATACACATATATACATGTAAGATGATATACAGAGTAGTATATATGTATTATATATATATGTTAAAATACTTTATGTCAAGAGTCTGATAAAGATTCTTAAAATCTGGGGGTAGAAAGGGCAACAGTGTCGTTTCAGAGGCTGATATCTGATCCTGGTCCTGTCATTTGACAGCTGCGGTAAGTTAAACAGTTTCCACACCAAAAAACCAAAATATAATTCAAAGAGTTCTAAGAATGAAATAATAGATATTATTTATAAAATATGGTACATAAAAACCAAAATATAATTCAAAGAGTTCTAAGAATGAAATAATAGATATTATTTATAAAATATGGTACATAATGTGTACATAATACACATGAAAGAAATGTTAGTTTTTCTCCTAGACGTTGAGACTTTTTTAGTACAAAAATTAGTTTCGTTGTATCGACTTTTCTTTTGTTGTTAGGAAGAACGGAAAATTCATTTTAAAGAAAATTTCATTTTAAAGAGTGAGGGCATGAACGAATGCAGTGAAATAAAGTTAAAACATTTTGACATTGTGTAAACAAGAAAGCTTTGAAGACTCATATTTTAAGTTATCTCTGCATTCTCGGGACTGAAGCTGATACATTATCTACAGTATTTAAGTATTCAGAAGAGGTTTGGAAGAGGCAGCGTTGGGAATAGTGTCAGAGTAGGTGCCACAAAGATGCTATTTTAGCTAACAAAGTCAGATTGTGCCCTTTCTCATTAGCTTCAGTCAAGCAAAACTTCCTCAAATCTCTCTTGGCTCCAGACCAATAGAATCTTTAACGGGTAATTAATTAGAATGTTCAGCGAAGTGGTACTTTTTATCTTTGTTTCCCCAACATTCTTTCAAGATGCCTTAAAACACACCTTTAAAATTTCTATTAACTGTATAAATAAAGGAAGCATTTACCCTGAGAAGTTTTTCAATCTTGTTCAGCAATGTGGGTATTAGGTGAGACTGTAAATTTCCAAGTTCTGTAGTCCAGGCAGCATAGGCTGGTAAAAATACTTGATGTGTGGCACTCACTAACGACTCTTTCTGAGGGATCACCCAAGGCTGACAGCAACAGTTCAAAACCCTGCCAAAAGGAAACAGACACAATGCTGATTTAAAACAAAACAGAAGCCTCAAACACACAACAAAATGTAATAAACATACATTCCAATACATTTAGAAGACATTTTAAGCAAGAAAGAAGCCATTCATAAGCCTGCCTTCCCCAATTTCTTTAAAGAAAAATGTCATGTATCCATTGAGGGAAACCAGAGAGAAAATGGCAAGCTTGTTGCCAATTTCCTGCCACAAAGCTGTGGCAGATACTATAAATGAATCAACTTTGCACTTTCTCCTTGAAATTGCAGAATTGAAACCAGGCAGCCAACTTTAACTTGCTCAAGTTGACCCACTTGCCATCCCTACCATAGATTATGGGGTATCTGAATCAGAGGTTTGGGATATTACACCATTCGGAATTTTATAATGGAATAGATGGGATTTTTTTCTGAAAAGCATACCTGCTGATATTTGTCTGGGTCATCAATGTATCCCATAATGATACCAAGGGTTTTGATCACAGCTTCTCTTACCAAATCTGCCTTATCTTCCATTAACATTTGTTGCAACACTGAAAGAACCAAGGAGCTATGGATTTCTTTCTGAAATAAACAAGAACATGTTTTACTATTTATTTATACTAGCAGCAGAAAAGAATAGAAAAAAATGACAGATAGCCATGTATTCACAATCCAGATTAAATATATATTAACATGTTGCTATGTTTGCTTCAAGTCCTCATTTCTGAAACACAGAAGACATTATAGACACAGCTGAAGTGCATGACTCTCTTCCACCCTCCCCCTTCCCCTAATTCTCCTCTCTAAAGATAACATTTACCCTGAACTTGGTATTAATCATCTCCCAGCATATTTTTGTATTTTTACTACATATGTGCAAATCCCTGAAACCTTTACAGTGCGCTTTTGGCAAATCAACAGTCACCACTCTGCCATAAACAGACTCTTCTGTGTAAAATGACTATTCTTTCTATCACTACGGAACTCAGAAAAGCACTGATAGTCATAACAACAGGAGGGATTACAAAAATCACTCTGGTAATCAAAATATTTGCCTGGGGTAGGAGTATGGAAACTAAAATCCTGGTGTTGCTATTTTTTTTTTTTGAAGAACTGAGGGGGGAACAAAAAAAACAGAATGATAAAATATGAGAGTAAACTTTAAAAGTGCTTACAAAACTGCATGGCTATTTTCAGATGCTACTATTAAATATAATGTCAACTACTATTGGGTCTTAAGTTTCATACAAATTTTACCCCATGGATTCAGCCTAATTAATGTCTGAGGTTGGAAAAAAGTGTCATTGTTCTCATATTCTTGCTCTTCCTTCCCTTTTTTGTACCATTATTGTAACTTGATCAATTTATAAAATTCTTTAAAACCTCAACTTGTTTAGGTCACCTTTACATTTAACAGTTACAATAAAAGGAAATGACCATTTCTATAAATCGCTAGTCAGTGTGATTTGGTATGCAGAGCAAACGTCTGAAAGACAGGTTTAAATATCGAGTTTTTGTTTTGATTTTTAAAAACAAAATATATGTAATCATAGAAAAGTTTGGTCACATTTAGGGTGGTGAATATACCTTTTGGTACAGCCTTGTTTATTTATCTTTTAGGTTAAATACTGCTTCCCAACATTTCTTTAAAAGTGTATTAAAAGGGCTTTTGGGTTGATATCTACACAGGCAGTAGGACAGAGGTAAGTAAACCTCAGCTGGGTATTTGCTTTGCAGCAATCAAGGCTGAGGTCAACTGTGGCAGTTTCCTATGCTAAGGAAACCCACGGGACAAGTTAGGGGCCTCATGCCATCTGAGCTATGACTACACTGAGGTTTTACTGCCACCAGTTACAGTGGGGTAACGAGGCAAGTGGAGATCCACGCAGGAAACATTAAGTCCATTATTAATGCTGCTTTGCATTCTAGTACTAGAAACAGTGTGGAACAGTTTCTTGCTTCTTTGAGAGCATGTGATGTTCAGCTCTCTTGGAACAATAAATAATAGCATGCTCAGACTCACTCATGGATATCTACCTATATGATTTCTCACAATAAGATAATGTTCTCTGAAAAGATAGGAAAACACTAAAACAAAAAAAAGTTTATGCCCAGTTCCTGGTGGAAGTATGGGAAAATAAGAACTTTGATGCACTGCTAATAGGAGTTCAATCTATGATGTCTTGGTTGGGGGCGATTTAACACTGTCAAAATAAAAAAATGCACATGTCAAGAGAAGCAAGATACAGAGGTTTTAACAATATGCGAAAACTTAAAATGCATGGATTCCCACACAAGGGATAAATAGATCATTGAACAGTGTGATTAATTCCGAGTAAGAAAAATTTTAAAGATATAAAAAATGTAAGCTTGCATATGCATGAATTTTTATTTTCTTAAGTATTCATTAAAAACCATTAACCACAGATGTCTGTCTTTGGAGAGAATGGCTAAGGGCCAGGGAAGTCTTTGATTTTCATCTGTCTGAAAATTTATTTTCAACAAAAACAGCATTTCTGGGAGTGGAGACTATGAATTATTCTTGAATTATTCTTTGTATTTTCCTGTATAAAAAGAAAAGATAAATTTTATTTTTTAAAAAGACAATTGTCTGACTCTTGGGTTTCTCAGTCTTCACTCACCCTCACACTAAAGAATGTGAGGGGACGGTAAATGTGACATAAACAGCTCATGTACTGTTGCACAGTTCCAATTTTCGTACTCCTTTTAAAGGGCAGTCTTATAGAAATAACCCTTCAAGGCAGCAGTCAGCAAACTGGGCCAAAAAGTCTCTGCTGCAGCTCTGCAACTCTGCTGTTGCAGTATGGAAGCACAGACAAGGCAAAGGAAATGGGTGTGGCTGCTTGCCAATAAAACTTTATTTATAAAAACAGGCTGTGGATTCCATTTGGTCTCCAGACTGTACTGTGCCAAGCTCTGCTTTAAATTACCGTTGTTCAAAGGAAAATGACTCTTGATGTCACCTCTGGCTTCCACCCCCTGTAAGCCCTGGACCCATCAGGAGACACCTCAGGAGCACAGCGGTCCAGCGTGCTCAGTCTTCTTCCTGGCGGGAGGCCCTTGGTCATTTAGAAACTAACGAGCACCTCAAACAGCTTTTGTTTGGGTGGGGAATATCTCCTGACATTTATCATATCAGAAATTAAAAATGAAAATTTCAAATTATTAACGCATTAAAAACAATCAACTTCTTAAAGGTTAACATGACTAATGAAATTGCAACTTTAATGGAAATAACTATAATCAAAAAAACTAGTGAGAGGAATAGTGTTGCTTTATATTGTGTTGCAAATCTCAGTGACGTCTGACTTAAAAGAAGACAGGTAGGATCGTCTTATCTGCTCTGCCTTCAACTGTATGTTGCTTGGGTGGGAGTACTTAAGAAAACCTGGCCTCACAGAAACACAAAACTGAGAAAGGGAGAAGTATCTTCATAGCCTCTTCTGATAAGAAAAGAATCTGTCAAGCTCTGAATGGTGAATACAAGTTTTCCAAAATTCTTGTTCTCATTAGAAGTTCTAATTTTATCATTGGCAATGAAAACTGTCTACTTGTTTTCCTTGAAGCAAGGCTCCATGTCACTTATCTTCATGAAAATGCCTGCCACATACCAAGTTTGAATAATCACAGCTTGTTTTTCAGTGACCTGTCAAGTAAAATCGGTGTCCCACGAGAAAAGCAGCTGGTTCAGCTCACAACTCAGACTATCTGAGTGCTTGCTTTCTGCAACAGCCATCATAGTTCAGAATGCAGCAAAAGAGCTTAATATCAGTATCTTCCAGCTGATTATATAGACTATTAAAAAAAAGGCATACTTAGGGTCAAAATTTAGTAGAATTAATAACTTCACTGATTCACCAAGTTAATTTTAAGTGAAGTTGACTTTCTGTGAGTGCCCTGTAGTGAAGAATATGATCATTATCTGTCTATCTGGGTGTCACTGCTTTGATCAGCACTAATGCACTGCCACTGTTGCCCATTACAAATTTTTCTTGCACCAACATTGTAACTGTCAACACAGAGAAAAAGACAAAAAATGTTTTAATATTATTATGAAAATAATTTTCATCTCATGGACCTCTTCAAAAGGATCAAGGAACTCCCCAGGGTCCTCCGACCAAACTTTGAGAATTCCTGATGAGGTTTAATATATTTATACTCATGTAAAATCAGTGGCTAATGTTCCCCTGTCTGCAATGTCACATGGTATCAATGTGAGCTTTCTTTATTCAGCTCAACTTCTTCCTTTGTTACGACAGAATGTGGATTAAAACGTATAAGACACCTGAAAAAAAGGTTTCTCTATTGCTAAGAAAAGAAGGAAAAGTTTTGTTTTTTTTTTTAAAGAAAAATTACAATTCTTACAGGAAGGTAAGGTGCCAGCGCTTCACAAGATTCTGCCACAAGCAATCTTCTTTCTGGGTATTTGTGATTACTCTAGAGTAAAAAATAAATAAATCAAACATAAACAACATACCCTCCCTTCCTTCAAAACAGAATTAATTTTCACCACAAATCCTGTTAGGAACGCAACAAAGCTTCTTTCTTTCCACTTCTGAGGATACCTATACCTGGATCAGGATTAAGGGACTCAGGGAGAGCCTAAAAAATGAGATCACAGGGGCTATCTGTTGAAGAGAAAGAGGATAAAGCAAAGATGAAAATATGGCAAGGTGTCTAGAGATTGTAGGCTTGCCCAAGACAGCTTTCCTTAGGATGTCAGGAGCAACCTTTTCCTTCCCTAGGAACATTATTATATTTTCACATTTGGAAAATCCAGCTTCTAGATATTTACTGATATGGCCTACAATAGGTACCAGGAATGATCCTTCATTCCTCTTTTTTACATCAAGGATTAAGTTGCAAATCATCAGTGATTTAATCAGAGCTCCTGACTGGTGTTATTACTTTGTTTCTAAAGTAAGCGATGTCAATTCATTCCTGCTTGCATATGTAAGATCATGGGGTTTTACTATTATGTAATGACTACACTGAATCATAACAAAAAAAGGACAAAAACAAAATGACACATACTGGGTTTTGTTCCCATATGTCTTCTTCATAGAATATAAATCTTTCTTTGACTGGAAAAGAAGTATATCTGTTCTCATATTCCCATATGAAAAGGTGACATAATTCATTGCAGTACTGGATGCCTAAAATTAAGAAAGAAATTATGCAGCAATCTACTGGGCAACAAACTGGAGGCAGGCGGTTGACAGATCCCTGATGTCCATGTTTATTCGGGTTACAGAAGAAAGAGGTGGCAGGGAAGTTGTTGGTAACAGATCTCCAAGTTAGACTCAACCCAGAAACAGTAACCTCAAGACAAAATGGTTTGAATGTCATAATATGTTACACATAAACTCACATGTTTCTTTATTCTAGCAGGATGTCTCAAAATTAAAAGTACATACAACAATCAACTGTATTCCTACATACT